CCTTTGTTGTTCCCAAACGTCATTTTATCAAAGTTAACTACGCATTTCCTAGGTAGCAAGTAGTCCAACCCTAGTATGCATTGGTCTTCAATGTCAGCCAAGTATACTTTGTGTCTGTCCTTTATGCCCATGAACTCAATAGTTACCCACACTGGTCCCCACAACCTTGTAGAATGTCCTGTCACACCATAAAGCTTCTGTATGGCTTCTGGTACTCCTTTGTGATCTAACACCTTGATGCTCACAAGGGTTTGCTGAGATGCAGAATCTATGACAAAGTTGCACCTTTGGCCATCCAACTTTCCTGTCACATAAGAGTTGAAGGGCACAGCATTTCGTAGTAGTGAGTCTTCTATGTTCTCCGTGAAAAAAGAAAAACTCGCGTAGCAGAGCATTTATGACAGCAACAGACTCCGAAATTACACTCTAAGGCAGTCACCATCAACGCCCGCAATAAGTTCAAATGAAATTGTAATATTTGCTGTTTTGTTAATAAGCAAAAACTAACTACACATAACAGATGTACTCCGGAAATTATATTTTCTTATTGAAAAAAAAAAAAACGTTTAGAATTAACATGGAAAATTTCTATAATATATATTGAATTACATTAATGTTCTATCATTATAAACTGATAGCAAAGAAGATTTGGTTTGTTTTGAATTTCTCGCAAAGCTACACGAGGACTACCTGCGCTAGCCGTCCTTAACTTAGCAATGTAAGACTAGAGGGAAGGCAGCTAGTCATCACCGCCAACTCTTGGGCTCTTTCTTTTACCAACTAATAGTGGGGTTGACCGTCACAGTACAACGCTCCCACGGCTGAAAGGGCGAGCATGTTTGGTGGGACGGGGATTCGAACCCGCGACTCGCAGCTTGTGGCTCGAGCGCCCTATTCATCTGGCCATGACAAGAGAAGAAAATAAAAATGTATCTTTGTTATCAGTTGATAAGGTATTTTAGAAGATATATCTGCGTCGTTCGATAGGTTGATTTCTCAGTAAAAAAAAACAATAAATTTCCTTTTCAGAACTTTATTCGTTATCAATATCATTCTGAATCAGTCCACATATGTTGCATGTTTTTAAGGTAGAAAGAGTTCAAGAAGATGAAACTATCTTATACTTGGTTCATTTTAGATCTGAAATATAAGATTCTAAATTTTTACCTTTCCCGAGCAAAATATTTTATTTCACAACTGAAACTAATTTCAACTCGGTAAAAAAAAATTTGTTCAAAATGACTCGATCATTTAGTGATTAGTTAGCAATTCCTGTTATGTATCTTCTAACCAATAGTGTGATGTTAAACTTTATAGTGCGGAAGACCTGCCAAAATGTTTGTCACACGCATGACATCATCATCAGATTAAAATAACTCGTATTCAAAACCTAATGTCCATTTCTGGATTTCAGGTGCCGAAGTGTCATTCCAGAACGCTCGTGTACCCCTGTTTCTAACATCAGTATTTAACATGCATGAATACGTCTGAATATTATAAAGGATAAATAAATGTAAGCCCTATGTTGCAGAAGCGCGTTAACATGCTATGTCACACTTGTAACTTGTGCAAAGTTACTTTTAGTCCAAAACACTAATGCTATTATTACAATAATATTAAACCTTCACCTATTCATGCTGTCTCTGCATATGAAGTTTTATTTTTTTATGAGAAGTGCAGGTGGAATAACTTTGGCTACCCGTGGAGACGATATAATGTGACGGTCAATCATCCCATTCTTTGTTTAAAGAGTAACTCAAGAGTTAGCGGTGGATTGTGTTGACCAGCTGCTTTCCCTCTTAGAGTCTAGTCTATCACTTTAAAATTAGGGACGATTAGCGCAGATAGTCCTTGAACAGCTCTGTGCGAAATTCAGATAAACTAACAAGCGTGTCTCCCATCTCGTAATCTTGGCCATTTCTCAGAGGGACTTTTTCTGTTGTTTTCCTACTTATCCTGACACAGCTGCATGTTCAACTAACTCTTGTATGTTAATGATAGGTTCCGGATACACTCCATGTCTTACTTTACCGTGTACTATTTACTGAACAATGCTTCATTATCTTGAGTACTTCATTGTTATTATTATTATATTTATGCTTGAATACCTAAAGATTATTATCTTAGGAGTGATGTTTATTAATGCACGGAAGGTTGTACTCTATAATCTGTAAACAATATTTATTTCACATTTTAGAAAAAGATCCAAAGTTAGGCTTAAAATGTAGTGAAAAAATTTTGTGCGCCAGCAATGCCAAGCGATTCGATTTTATTACTCATCAGGATATCTACCAGCCTGCCCTCAAATTGAAATTATTTTAAGCAGGATTATAGTAAATTAATCAATGAGACCTTGGGCGTGGCCAAATACATCATTCAAAATGGTTTGACCTTCTGAGGTACTTGAAAAAAAAACAAAAAACAGAGCCATTCTATG